ACTATTTTTTTTATTTTCCTCAACCTTAATCCTTGGTCACCTTTAAAAAGAAATATTTTGCATCTGATATTTGCATGGTTTAGTTTGAAAAATAAAAGTATTGGTGCTTAATCGAAAGTTGTGCAAAAGTTAAATAAATTAAGGTTGATAAAAACAACAAATCATACCAGTGAAAAACCTTATAAAAATAGCTAGAAAAACGTAAGCTGGTTATGCTTTTATTTCCAAAGATGAATCTTATTTTTACTACATAAAATGTTACATTTGTGGGTAAAAATTCTGCACAGATAGTTTAAAAGCTGGTCCTGAAAATATTAAGCATAATAAGCTTAATTAGTTAAATTAAGTCCAAATTTAATTCAAAAATATTTGTTTGGTTTAACTAAATTCAACTAAAGGAACTAAAGAAAAAGCTAAAGGAACTTATAATGGCAATATATTAGCATTTTTAAAAGAATATTAAATATAAAACGCGACCTGAGGGCTTATTTATTCCATCTCCATTTTAAAATGTTGGGAGAAAATATTAAGTGATCTTATAAAAGTAACAACTATTTATGCAATAAATTTTAAATTTTAATAATAACTATTGAAAATATTATTTGATATTAAATTTACTAATTATTTATAAAAAAAAAAGTTAAAAAAATAAATAAAAAGTTTTAATTTTATTTTTAGATATTAATGCAGAAAAGTTCTTTTAACATTTTAAAATGGAGTTGAAATAAATAAGCACTCAGGTCACGAAAAGTATTGAATGTCAATGGGCAATTCTCAAATTAGTGAAGCCAGAGAGCTAATTTTTCAAACACTTTTTTTATGATCTTTTTGCATATTTTTATAATCTTTTCTTTCACTTAATATGAACTGGTTTTTTGGTTTATTCTCCGCCAGCTAATTGCCTTGTGGAGGCCACATTACCAAGTTCCACAGACTTGTTTCAGCTCCTAAAGGAGTGTCATAACCCGCTCTACAAAACGAGAGTAAGGTGAGTTTGGGAAGAACAAAGATATGTTAGAGTGAAAGGCAGAAATAGTCGTGTTAGAAAGATAGCATAGAGAAAACGGACAGAATTGCACACCATGTTAAAAGGCGCCATAATGCTGTTATTCGAACCGACAAAGACTTAAAGAGTTCACTTAACATGAACTCTTTAAGTCTTTGTCGTCACTCTTCCTCAGTTTTCTTTGTCGTCCTTGGTGCACAAAAAACTAACATATTATATTGAAATTTGCTACTAAATTGCTTGCGGGTTTGTTTATAATAGGAATGTTTATTAATTAACAAATCTTTTCATTTTTAAAATAAGCTAATATTGCTTGTGGGTTTGTAATTTTTTTTTTAATATACTTTGTTCTCTTTTAAAAATAAATATTTTTATTTTTAAGATTGCTTGTGGTTTTGTATTTCTTTTTAAATCTTTTTTTAAAAACTTTTTTTTTGAAATTTTTTTTTTTAATAAAATTGAAAAAGTAACTTACAAAGTTATGTTAACTTTGTTTAATATTAATATAAAAATATACTACATATGTGGGAGGACGCGGTTTGCAATGCAAATGAAATATTTGTACTATATATTGTTTTACTCTTATATAAAAAATGTTTATCCTTTAAAAAAAAAATATTCTGCTCCTTTAATCAGCAAATACTTAGGATAAAAAGCTTGACTTAATTACAAATGTCTTGACAAACGCATTGCTAAATATCCTAACTCTCTGTAAAGACTAAAAAGTAGAAGATAAAATATAGCAAAAACATTTGATAAACTTTTTAATTTGAATTTAATAGTTCAGTAAACTAAAGATTGACAGGTATGTTTCTATATAAATCTTGTGCAGTCCTGTCAATCTTAAACTGAACTATTAAATTTAAGTTAAAAAGTTTATTTTCTACTTTTTAGTACAAATAGATTATACTTTTAGCAAATGTTTTCGCTATATTTTATTTTTAACAAACTAATAATTAAAATTTACATTTTAAAATACATTTTTTGTATAGTGTATGAAAAAATATTGATGTAAATTTCTTCAGTTAATAAAATTTTTTAATTTTTAATGCCAGTATATTATTTTCCATTTATCACAATAAATTAATATTTAATATTGTTATAATTACATATTAGCATTTTCATAACTATTTTAATATAATTTAAACAAAAAAAATTTAGCTTTGAAAAAATATTTATGCAAATATATTACAATTCAGTAAATGCCCGTTTTGTGATGTCACACACGTCACATAGTTTTATATTTAATGATACATGTGTTACATTACACAGATGAGATCATTAAATTTAAAATATCAGAAAATAAATAATTGATGCAGATTGGAACTAAATCATGAATACTAAATATATTTTGAAAATTTTGAAAATAAATGCCTTTAACATGAATATAGTATTGAAATAAATAAATAAAAAAATCAAACATAGTGGTATTTTGAAAGTTATTTCAGTTTGAATTTGCTTGAAAAGATGAATTAAATAATTCTATAAATTATTGATTTTAGGTTCTTTGTAATTTTTAACAGTTTCCTATTTAAATTTAAGTTGATATATAATAAAAATAAAAATGTATTGTGCTGAGAGATTGAAAAACTTTAGAGGAAAACAAAAAGCTAACTAAGAATACTGCTCAATATAAAACGAAAAGGATTGAGAATCTGTGAAAAATGAAAGTTGCAAAAGTGAACAGCACTGAAAAGGATTTTTTATAAAGAAAAATGTAAACAAACATTCTTTATAAAGAAAAATGCAAACAAATTAGTAGACAAAAAATTATAGACTAACTAAATAAATTGATAGAATGGGAAGAGAAAAAGGCCATAAAAATATTTTTTGACAATGTTTTTGAGAGTGGCTTACTTATTTTTTATTCAACCTATGGAGAGATAATGCCTTTGTTTAAATTTTGTAAGCTAAAGCTAAAAAATATATTTTTTTTAAGTGCAAACTGCATGAGAACTTTCAGAATTTAAAAATAAGTTTATGGTGATATTACCTAACCAATTATCTTTGCAATAAAATAAAACGTTTGAGTGGAAATTGTTTGCAACTTCCTATGGAAAATGGGGTTGTTTATGGTTGTTGGAGGTAGAGCCAAGTCTCTTGTTCAAATTATGAGCAAGAATCAGAAAGTGTGTGTGAAAACTCTTATTGTTCTTAAACCATTTATGACAGCTACTAATATTCTCTATATTAGCAATGAAAAAATCATTAGTAAAATAGACAACAAAAAACCTTGGTCAGAAGTAAAAAAACACAGGGAATATAAGAAATTCATCATGTCAATGTTTTCAATAGATGCTTGTCATTTTTCAAAACATGTGACTTGAAGTCATTTGATTTTCAAATAAACTATATTAATGACATGCAAGCTCCTAAAATATTTTCCCAATTTTCCAAAAATGGCTTTTAATGATTGGTGCCTTGTGCAGAACAATCAAACTATGTACCCTGATAAAATAAAAATCTAAAAAGTTGAAACTTTAAAAAAACTATAAAACAAAAGTGCTACTCAGTTTAATTTTTATTTCAGTTATGTTAAAAAAATTAAAATTAAAAAGAAAAATTGTTTCAAATTTATTAAATTATTAAAAATTCGTACAGTGTCACACATACGTAACAAAGTTTGTCACACATGTAACGCTAAAGTTTATCATTTATTTTTATGAAGTTATTGAAATTTTGGAAAAAAAAAGTATTTTTTATAAACATCAACATGATGTCTGCAAGATAAAAAAAAAATCTTTAAACTAATTAAAGCCAATTAGCAGAAATATTCAATCAAAATTTTAAATTTAAATTTATAGTTTTGTATGCGTTGCTCACATAACACAACTAATCAGTTCTTTTAATAGTATGTGAAATAAACATATTTTTAAGAGAAATATTTTATATCAGACACATCTCCTACTATAATATTTGCAATATATATCTTGCATATCTGTTGTAAACAATTTTTTATGGCCCCTTTTATTTGAAAGGGGCCATAAAAAATATCGCCATAATTCAATTTTGGCAAATTAATTAAAGATTTGAGCATAATGATTAAAGATTCAAAGTGACCAAGCATTCTGACCCTGATCAAGCATCATTTCAGTTATGTTAAAACTGTAGCAGTATATTTTGATAGTAAAAAATTGAGTATAGAAAAAAATAAAAAAAAAACCTGTTATTGTTTTGGAAGCTTGTCCAATTGAAAACATTAAGGGTGATTTGAAACACCTAGTTTTCAGTAATAGTTGACACGCCAAGCATAAGTCAACTTCAGTTTAGAATAAAGAGAAAGTTAAAAAAACGCTTTTTAGACAATTTACATGCTAGTTGTTAGAGACTGCAGACTAGATAAAATTACTAAGCTCATAAAAACTTACTTTTTGTTCAATGAAGCTTCTAAAGGTAAATATAAAATACAAACTTTAAATAATATGTTTACATAACCACTGGTTACAATGTTTGAAATGTTATTGTAAAGCTTTTTGCTCACATTAAAAAAAATTTTTTTGGAAACTGCAAAACTTTGTATGAGCAATATTTTAGGATTTTGGCAAAATTAATGTATTTTAAAAATTTAAATTTTAAAAAATTTAAATGTAACCATTTTTATCTGACACAATTGATATTTATAATAAAATCTGATGTCATTTTCATTAAAAATACCTTTTGTGGCATACAATGGCAGTGAAAATATCATGGTTGGGGGATGAACATGGCAGTGAAAATATCATGTTTGGGGGATGTTTTAGTTGTCACAGTAGGTCCCATTCATTGCATAGGAAATATTATAGACCAGTGAGTTTAGACACCATGACAAATTAGTTGATTTAATACTTTGTTACTGTTTTGAAAAGAAATAATGTCACCACATACTGTCTTATTGAAATTATCTTTTTTTTTAAACTGACATAGTAATGATTTTCGAAATAAAATTTCATCAAAATGTTGTTTGTTTTATTTTTGTAATGTTCACATTGTTCACCTTTAGTTTTTATTATTTTAGTTCAATGCGGTCGTGGAATGTATTTTGATCGCAGCAGTTCCAAATGTAAAGTTTGTGATATTGGAACTTACCAGTCCCAAGAAGCTCAAACATTTTGTATCAAATGTCCAAATAACACTTCAACAGTGGGTAAATACGCCAAAGATTACCAACTATGCAAAGGTAAGATAAGCTTGTGGCTACTGCTTTTCATCTTTTTCACAAATTTTTTTACAAATTTTTCTGCTTTTATTATAGGTTATAAAGCTTGTTAGTTGTTTATTTTTTTAATTTTTAATTTAAAACAATTTTTTCTAAATAATGTATACTTGTGTGCACAACTGCATACTTATATTTGAGAACACTAGTATTTTACTGTCAATTGAAACTTCTTACCATCCCCTGGTTTGTAATACTAGTAAACCGGTTTAAAACTGATTTACCTGTATATCAAATCAAAATAATTTGATGGCAACGAAATTGATTTTTATCACCTTTAATCTCAATAAAAATTTATTCAAAAAGTTCAAGAAACTAAAACAATTTGTCCTGTAAAAAATCATCACAATCAACACTTTGTCCTCTAAGAAATTATCACACTTAACCATCCTATTATCAATTATCATCCATCCGATAATGAGCTACGTCTGTTAAAAAAAACTGCAAGGACTTTTGAAAATGGCTCTCCAAACTTTTTTTTAAACTGAAACAAAAAAACCAAAAATAAAATTCAAATAAAAAAAGTGTAAAGAAAAAGAACTGAAAGTAAATAATAAATGAGAAAAGATTTTATATAAAGAAAAAAGTTGGAGAAAAGAACTTTAAAAAAAAACAATTAGAAAGTTCGAATATAAATTGAATTTCAAGATACTAAATAACATTAAGTTAGCTTATTGATTTACATCATCATTTAAGAACTTAACCATGGATAAAAGTTTACCATAGAATTATTTTATATTAGTAAAAAACGAAAGTGCAGGTTAAGAAATGTTCAAAAACAATCGAAACTTCTGGTAATATGAGTGGTATGAAAGTTTTGAACACATCACATAGTTATAAAAAGTGGTAAAGAAGATGAACTAAATAAAATCATAATGAATGGCAAGCATATGCACATGTACAAGTTTGAATCAACAGTTTCAACATATACTTTTAATAAAAAATTTTATTTTTTAAAAAAGTTTCAACATCAACAGTTTCAACATCAACAGTTTCAAAATCAACAGTTTTAACATCAACAGTTTCAACATCAACAGTTTCAACATCAACAGTTTCAACATCAACAGTTTCAAAATATTTCATAAAATCTTATCTTTTTTTTTAATAAAATCTTTTTTTTTAATAAATATCTTTTTTTTTAATAAAAATTTTGTTTGTAATTAAAAAGGTTGCTGGTAATTAAAAAATTCAGCAAATAAAAAAAAAACTGCAAACTCTACTGCCGGGGAGAGTAGACTTAATAAATGGGTAGGTGGGAATATTTTTTCAAATCTTATAAACAGGGGGTTGTATTGATAGAAGGTAGTGTGGCTTGTGGACAAAACTCACATTTTAACAAATGTTTTATCTTAATTTTAATAGGATTAATTTGCTTAAATAAATTTTGTGCTGTAGTAAAGAATGTACTTTGTAGTAGAACCAAAAGCTCATTTTGGACCAAATCAAAATTTATAAAAAAATTTTTCTAGGTCAATTTTTATAGCCCAATTACAATAAAAGTTTTTAGTTTTATCAGTAAGTTGATAATTTTTATAGCCAGTTTACACTGAAAGTTGTTTTTTTTTATTTTGAGATACAGTTTCCTGTTAATAACTAGTAAAAATAATTAAACAAAGGTGTTTTAATATGTTTGGGATAAGTGGGAAAATTTTCCAAAATATTAATAAATACCCTCTTGCATATATTAGGTACTTGAGAGTATAAATAGAAGTAAAATTTTTTTTATCAATATAAGGAAGTTATTTTCATTGTCAATTCATCATCTTGTCTAGCTTTTGCACAGAAATCAATAAACTAATCATTTATACTTTGATTTGCTTTATTTCATGGAAATATATGCCATATATCAACATGTTACAATTTGAAGAATTCAGGTGCAATTTAATATGTAAAAACTTTTTTATAGTGAATTTTGCTTTTTAACTTTTATTTTTTATAAGTTTTGTTTCCAATAATTTTCATGTTTTATCTCCAAAAAAACAATGAAGGTTATACAGATTTCATAATTTTCATATGACTTTCAATTTGATCAAGTTTTAATTTTTATATTACTATTAAGTTAACTTTGGACTTGGTTCAAATCTCATCTGATGAAATCCTTAATCCTGTTAATAGGTTCAAATCTTATTTCATCTGATGAATTCCTGTTAATTATTATTATTAAAAAAACGAAAAACATTTAAGGTTTGTAACAATTATTTTACAAATTCTCAAATGTTGAGATCCTGAACTATTGTTTTAGTCCACCTTCAGTCTACATTTTTCATACATGTTAAACTCCTAAAAGCCTAAGCATAATTATCTTTAAAATTTAACTGTTTTTATGAAAAGTTCAAAATGGATATTTATACTGGATGAGAACAATAGCTGCCATTGTTACTTCTTGTTTCAAATTTTTTGAATAAAATAAAAGTAGTAAAACATAAAACGTCAGTTCAACATATTATGTAAAATTTCAGTTCAACATATTATGTAAAATGTCAGTTAAACAGTTTATGTAAAACTTCAGTTTGACACTTTATGTAAAATGATAATTAATTTATGATAAATAAAAAAATTGTGTTTCTGATTTCGAATAAGAAAGCCTTCTCTTTTTGAGAATGCTTTTTAAAATCAGTTGTCATCAAAAACTCATTTTTTATTACAAAATTTAGCAGTTACTTTATACAATAAGCAATATATCAATTATAGTTAATAAGACAATAAATATAGTTGTATAAATATAAGGGCCTCTAATTTTTAATTTCTGATGTCTTTAATCTAAGTTAATCTATTTAATTTTAGACTGCGAAAAAAAACTTTATTAGTTTACACTTCCATAGTTTTACTTTCTATTGTTAAATTGATAAATTTACCACAGATTGTAAAACCATGGAAGCATAAATGATTCAAATTTGATTTGACCATACTTTGTTTTACTTAAAGTAATTTTCAGACAATCACAATTTGAGACAATAATACTTCATGTTTTTTTTTTGCTTAAAACTCCATGTAAACCAAAAATAAAAAGCCCATGTGGGATCCCCACAAGTAGGAAAAAAAATTTACTCAGAAAGTTCTGAAATGTTTCATATTTATGTCTTAATTAATTAAGAAATTGTTATTTAATTATTTGTATTAAAGATTTTTATCATTTTCAGAATAGTTTGGAGTACTTTGTGCAGTTTTAAGTGTCAATCTTGAATTTTGAAAAAAAACAATGCATTAGAAAAAACATTTTTTATTGTTATTTTTTTTTCGGTTGCTTTTTTTGTTGACTTGAAAAGTTCATTTTGCTTTCTCGAACCCAAACTTTCAGTCTATGTATGGTCTATGTATGTACTGAAACCCTTACAGTTTGTTATTTTAATTGGCCAGTGAAAAAAAAATTACATACTGGCTGAAAAATTATAGCAAGTGTGTAAAATGTTACACACTGGCTATCATTTTTAGTTAAAATATTTGATTCATTTAAGATTAAATTTTTTTAGCTATGTGCAAACCTGGTACTTATTCTGCTAATGGCTTGGAAGTTTGTTACGCTTGTCCAATTGGGACTTATCAACCTATGAGAATGAGTACACACTGCATTCCCTGCCCACCTGGTAAAGTGAACTCTAATGTTGGATCTACGACTCAGGATGAATGTTTGTTAGGTGAGAATCAAATATAGTTATTTTAAGTTAATTTTAATTTTTGAATTAAAATTATTATTTTTTGTTTTTTATGTGCATAATTCAATAATTTGCTTTGGTAAATCAGTTTGAAAATCTTTATTTAGCTGGCTTAGATATCATCATACGATCTGAGGGGTGTGGAGATCCTGACATTACAAAAGCTTGTGGAATTTCAACCATTTTTGTAAATAGCATTCAATACAGCTTGATGAAAAGAGGAATGAACTTTGTTGCTGTAAATGGGTACACTGGTATGTATCATTATTTATAGCTACATAAAGTAAAAATCATTATTTTAAAATTACATGATAGTACAATCATGGCCAAAAAAAGTAGAGACGCTCAAAAATATTATTAAAAATAGACATACAGCACTAATAAAAATGTTGATGGACAAAAAAGAAACTTTAATTTTTTAAAAAAAAAAGAAAATTTAATACTTTGTGGCAGCACCCTTATGTTTAAGCACCAGTTTTAATCTCTTTGGCATGGAGTCTAACTCGTTTCAGCCAATACATGATATATATATATATATATATATATATATATATATATACACCCATAATAAACTTAAATGTTCTCAAAATAACTTCTTGTGGAAGAATAAAAAGAATATTCGCAAACCCTAAAAACCCGCCAAATCTATGAACAAACTAATTCTATTGGTTCAAAAAATACGTTGACTAAGCAAAATAAAGTTCTAGAGTATTCTGTTGAAATGTTTTAGAAATTGTGTTATTCACGATTTGTAACATATATCTAAAATTGTGTTATTCACGATTTGTAACATAAAAGCTGTAAATCTTTTAAACTTTTATTATTTGTTTACAAAAATAAATATTTTATAATATATATTTTTTAAATTGTCAAAATTTTGTAAGTTTGCTATAAATTATAGATTTTATTAGTATATTCTTATTTTTTATTTAAAAAGTATGTATTTTTTATGTAAATGTAATTTTGTGTATCTGTTTTTTATTCTAATGTAATCTTTTAAAGCAATTTTTACGATTTATTTTGTAAACAAAGACTTTCGACAATAATTACATTTTCAATGAAGTTATTAATAATCAACAAAGGTGATAAAACTAATTATGAAATAAACATACAAGAAGTTTCTGGTTACTAAACACAAACATGCATACAAAGTAACTGGTAGATGAACAAGCACAGCGCCTGAGATCACAACAGAAAAGAATCACGACAGGTCAAGAAAGAAAAGACATTTTATTTTCCTTTTTTTTTTTTTTTTTTTCATTTGTCTCTCATATTAATCCTTTGCGCATTTTTAATCATTTTAATCATTAATCCTTTGCGCATTTTTACTTTGCTTTTTGAAATGTTCTCAAAATAACTTAAAAATCTGGACAGTTTTTTGCAACTAAATATTATTTCCATGGTCAGTAATCAAGAGCGATCGCTCCTGCTTCCCGACCAAGCCTAAGATTTAAGACTTCAAAACCAATACCAAGACTAAGACATTATAAATTTACCACAAACCAAGATTTTGAAAATTTTCCTTAGAGCAAGCGCAACACTTTCTTCTTAGTAAAAAATTTTTACTGTATAAAAAACTACTTAAAATCAAATAAATGACAAAATTTTCAAAAAAATAAGTTTTTACTGATTTCTTTTAAAATCTTTTGTTATACTTTTGTAGATTTTGTGTTTATCACAGAAAATGTTAAAATAAAACAAAAGCACTTAGCAAAACTTTATAAATAGCTGCAAGCTATTTATAAAGTACAAAAAAGTGAGAAAAGTCTTCCAATGTGGTTTTCAGAGTCGAATGCATTTTTCTGCAGGGAAACATTTTTCAACAGGTACTAAACCTAAATTCCAAAACTATTTCTTGCCATGGACATTCATATTTAAATTATGAATTGAGTTAGGTAATTTTGGTAAAACATAATCTGAGTGCCTCTAGCCAAAAAAAAATTTCACATATCTATAGACATTTTTTTTTTTTTTTTTTTTATTTGCATTCACTTCCAACAAGGCTGCAAGCAACCACTATTAAGTTGGGAGTTACTAGGAAAAAAAAAGAACAGAGTTATAGAGCAAGGAAACAGTTGACAGAAGACTTGAAAAGTTGAAGGTTGTATAAGTCAGGAAAACATGAAGATGGGAGAGAGTTCCAAAGGATTGAAGTGCGGGGAAAAAAACTAGATAAATAAAAGTTTTTAGAGCATGCAGGGACAGATACAGTAAACGAATGAGACTTAGCTGAATGACGAGTAAAACGAGAATGAATTTTAGTTGATGGAACAAGAGATGATAACTCCTTTGAGCAGTGACCATGATAGTATCTGTAGAAAAGAGAAAGAGATGCAACTTTAGAACGATGGGAAAGAGGTTCAAGCTTAGCAGATAGTCCAGGTCCAACAACATTTACAATGCGTTTTTGGACCTTGTCAAGAAGATAAAGTGAATCGTTAGAAGAACCAGCCCAAATATGACAACAGTATTCCATACAGGGACGAATAAGAGATTTGTAGAGGTAGAAAATGGAATCAGAAGTAAGAAAATGGCGAGCACGATAAAGAGAAGCAACCTTAGCAGAAGCTAATTTAGCAATCGATTGTATATATGGTTTCCATGAAAGGTCAGTAGTAAGCGATAATCCAAGAAGACGTAAAGAGGAGGACTCAGTAAGAGGATTGCCATTCGTTAATATAGGAATGTTGACCATATTACGGTAGTTGTTTGCAGTAAGCAACTGGGTTTTTTTATTGTTGAAATTCACAAGCCACTGTGAACCCCAATCTATCACTGAAGTGAGATCAGATTCAAGATCAGCTACTTGTTCTAAGCGATCGAAAAGAGAAGACTTTTTGTCAAGACAGGAGTATAAAGTTGAGTCATCAGCAAAAAGAGCTACTTTAGATGAAAGGTTGTCAGGAAGATTGTTTATGTAGATAAGAAACAAAACAGGGCCCAGGATGGAACCTTGGGGAGCCCCAGAAGTTACTGGAAATAAAGAAGAGTGTTGGCCTTCAAGGATGACTTTAATAAACCGGTTAGAAAGAAATGATTTGATAATCTCAAAAACTTTCCCAGAAACACCATATGAAGCAAGCTTATGGAGAAGACCAGCATGCCAAACTTTGTTTGGCATGCTGGTCTAACATATCTAAAGCGAAAGCTTTAGATATGTTGAGAGCAATAGCCCTAGCCTCACCGCCTCCATCTAATGCACGATAAAATCTTTCAGTTACAGCAGTTAGCAAGTCAGCCGTAGAGCGAGAGGATCGAAAACCGTATTGATTGTCTGACAGCAGTTTGACTCAAGATGAGATGTGAGGAATTTGTTGATCAAAGACTCAAAGACCTTGCTAATAACAGAAAGAAGACTGATCGGATGGTAATTGGAGGGGTCAGAATTTTCTCCAGAGTTTTTGAATATTGGAACCACAGATGCCATTTTCCAACAAGCAGGAAAACAAGACTCAGTTAAACACTTGTTAAATAGTTTAGAGAGAATTGAAGAAAGTTCTGGAGAACAATTCTGCAAGACTGTGACAGGAATGTTGTCTGGACCACAAGCTGTAGACGAGTTTAATTGAGATATGACTTTAGCAACAGAAGCCGGAGTGATTTGAATGTCTAACAATGGGTCAACCTGTTTGACTGGAATGGAAGGAAGAGAATGTCCATAAGATTCAAGAGTGGAATTAGAAGAAAAGTTCTTTGCAAATAGTTCTGCCTTATCCTTGGGAGAGGTAATAAGATCAGTCCCATGAATGAGAGATGGAATGTTAGATCTACCCTTGTTAACAATGCTGTTAAAGATTTTCCAAAAGTCTTTAGAGCCTAACTTCTGCGATAAGTTGCGAGATTTAGTGAACTGAGAATAATGGAGTTTAGCATCAGAAAGCACCTTTTTACATCGATTTCTTGCAATAATAAATAGCCGTTTGTTCTTAAGAGAGTTGTTCTTTTGAAAAAAATGAAAAAATGATTACGATTGGATATAGCAGCCGCACAAGAAGGAGAAAACCATGGAGTAGAATGAGGCTTGACTTGAAACCGACGCGAAGGAATAAAAGCTTCCATTCCAGCCTGAATCCAGGAAGTTACGTAGGAGGCGCATTTGTCAGCTGAGAGAGAAAAAACATCAGCCCAAGGACCATCACGAAGAAAATCACGAAAGGAATCCCAGTCAGCTTTAGGGTAGTAGTAGGTGGTGCGATGATAAGGTGAGCCAAAAAAAGAAGTACGAGAAGAAAGATTTATAGAGATCATTGCATGGTCAGAACCACCTAAGGGAGAAAAGGGAGAAACTGAACATAAGCTAGGGTCAGAGACAAGACATAAGTCAAGGAGTGAAGGTAAATGATTAGGGTTGTCAGGAAAACAAGTCACAAAGTTAACTATCTGAGTAAGAGATTGAGAAACGCAGAAGTTAAAGGCTTTAGTGCCAGCAGGATCAGTGGTGTTAGAGCCAAGCCATTTAGTGTGATGGGCATTAAAATCACCAACAACAACAATATTGGCAGAGGGGTAAAGAGAGAGGGCATGGTCAATTTGATCAGAGATAACATCTAAAAGAGTGCAATCATGGGAAGAAGGAGAACGATAAAGAACAAAGAGAAAGGTGATAGAGTGAAGAGGTGCTAGGCGAAAGCACATAAAAGAATGGTCAAAGGATTCGAACCTGATTTCATGACAAATAGAGGAATTAATGCGTATGTATACCCCTAAACCTAGCATGTGACTATTGGAGTCTTTACGAATCAAAGGATAGTACCCATCAACACTGACATCTGAAGAAGGAATTGCAGAACTTAAATTTGTTTCACTGAGTGCAAGCAAGTCTGGTGAATTTTGCAGGAGGTAAGACTCAACTGATGGAAAGTTGCTTCGTAGACCGCGAATATTTGTAAAAGATATATTAAAATATTTAGGTGGTGGGGATGGTTTTTTAGGTTTTAAATTTTTGGTTACTTTGGTCATGATTTGGGTTTAATGAGAACTAGACTCATTCATAGATAGAGCACAGCTTCCTAATCAATGAGCTATGCAGTTGTCTCAGTCCTGTTAATTAACCCTAAGCCGTGACATAGGGCTCCTTATGTGGCCTTGACAATGCACACCAAAAGCATTAACAGGGACACCATCCATGCGCAACATGGCACTGTTAATACTCTGATATTTTGCAGCTGTTGATGGAATCAGCCTCTCTGAGAGCTACCACAGAGTTCGGGAAACCTTACTACCAGCCGGCCTCAGAACCATTAAACTGAGTTTT